AGAGGAGGAAGAGGAGGAGGAGGAGGAGAAGGAGGAGGAGGAGGAGAGGGGGAGGAGGAGGAGGAGGAGAGAGGGAGGAAGGAGGAGGAGGAGGAGGAGGAGGAGGAAAGGAGGAGGAGGAAGAGGAGGAGGAGGAGGAGGAGGAGATCCAGCGCGCACTGCTCTCCGCGCGGCGGCGTGGTTGGCCTCCGGGAGGCGCTGCGCTTCGGGCGGCCACGACGGAGGGCGCTTGATAACCTGAGGATGACGAGGCTTTGCTTCGGGCGGCTACGACGGAGGGGCCTTGATGACCTGAGGGGGGCGAGGCTGATGGGAGGGGGAGGAAGAGGAGGAGGAGGAGGAGGAGAAGGAGGAGGAGGAGGAGGAGGAGGAGATTGAGGGGGAGAAGGAAAAGGAGGAGGAGCACACGGGCGGCGCGGGACAGACCGCTTCGCCCTCATTGCGCAAAAAAACTTGGCGAAGGATCTAACCACATGCAGTTTTGGGAAACGCGTTGTGGGTGCCGCTTTCGGTGGAGCTCCTTGTGGGGCCACGAAGCGCGTGAGGGACGTGCCGTAATGGGTTGGGGGGGGACGCATGCGGGCGGTGCCATTGGGGCCTTCGGTGGGGCTCCCTATGGGCCACGAAGCGCTGTCCTGGGTGTGGCGAACGCATGTGGCCACCCCCACTGGGGCCTTCGGTGGAGCTCCCTATGGGGCCACGAAGCGCTGTACTGGGTGTGGCGGGCGCATGTGGCCAACCCCAGTGGGGCCTTACGTGGAGCTCCCTATGGGGCCACGAAGCGCTGTATTGGGTGTGGCGGACGCATGTGGTACCACCACTTGGGCCTTAGCTGGAGCTCCCTATGGGGCCACGGAGCGCCGTACTGGGTGTGGCGGACGCATGTGGCCACACCCACTGCGGCCGCAGGTGGGGCTCCCTATGGGGCCACGAAGCGCTGTATTGGGTGTGACGGGCGCATGTGGCCACCCCCACTGGGGCCTTACGTGGAGCTCCCTTGGGAGCCACGAAGCGCTGTACGGGGTGTGGCGGACGCATGTGGCCACCCCCAGTGGGGCCTTAGATGGAGCTCCCTATGTGGCCACGAAGCGTTGTATTGGGTGTGACGGACGCATGTGGCCACCCCCACTGGGACCTTACGTGCAGCTCCCTATGGGGCCACGAAGCGCTGTATTGGGTGTGGCGGACGCATGTGGCCACCCCCAATGGGACCTTCGGTGGAGCTCCCCATGGGGCCACGAAACGCTGTATTGGGTGTGACGGACGCATGTGGCCACCCCCACTAGGGCCGCAGGTGGGGTTCCCTATGGGGCCACGAAGCGCTGTATTGGGTTTGGCCGACGCATGTGGCCACCCCACCATGGGATTTAGGTGGAGCTCCCCATGGGGCCACGAAGCGCTGTATTGGGTGTGGCGGACGCATGTGGCCACCCCCACTGGGGCCGCAGGTGGGGCTCCCTATGGGGCCACGAAACGCTGTACTGGGTGTGGCAGACGCATGTGGCCACCTCCACTGGGGCCTTCGGTGGAGCTCCCTATGGGGCCACGAAGCGCTGTGCTGGGTTTTGCGGACGCATGTGGCCACCCCCACTGGGGCCTTCGGTGGAGCTCCTATGGGGCCACGAAACGTGTGAATGGTGATGCTACTGGCGATGACGCTGATGATGGGGAGAGGGAGGGGGGCAGCGGGAGGGAGGAGACGCGGGGACCGTCTTTTCAACACGAGTATCCAACACCACAGGATGGTTGAGGAGGAAGAGAACGAACGAGAGGGAAAGGAGGAGGAGGAGGAGGAGGAGGGGGAGAAGAAAGAGGAGGAGGAGTACGCTGGCTGTGCGGGACAGACCGCTTCGCCCGCACCACGCAAAGTTATCTTGGCGAAGGACCCGGCCATATGCAGTCGTGGGTACCGCAACTGTGAATATCTTCTTCGGTGAAGCTCCTTATGGGGCCACGAAGCGCTGCTTGGGGTGGGGGGGAACGCAGTAGCACTGGGGCCGTCGCTGGAGCTCCCTATGGGGCCATGAAGCGCTGCATTGGGTGGGTGAAACTACCAAATTGGGTGTGTGGGACGCATGCGGACAGTGCCACTGGGGGCTTCGGTGGAGCTCCCTATGGGGCCACGAAGCGCTGTACTGGGTGGGTGAAGATGTCAAATTGGGGTTCCGGGGCGCATGCGGACACCCCACTGGGGGCTTCGGTGGAGTTCCTAGTGGGGCCATGAGGCGCTATAATGGGCGAGTGAAAATGCCAAATTGGGTGTGCGGGACGCCTGCGGACGGTCCCACTGGGGGCTTCGGTGGAGCTTCCTATGGGGCCACGAAGCGCTGTACTGGGTGGGTCAAACTGCCAAATTGGGTGTGTGGGATGCACGGGGGCGGTCCCACTGGGGGCTTCGGTGGAGCTCCCTCTTGGGGCCACGAAGCGCTGCCTTGGGTAGGTGAAAATGTCAGATTGCGTGTGCGGGACGCATGCGGGCAGTCCCACTGGAAGCTTCGTTTGAGCTCCCTATGTGGCCACGAAGCGCTGTGCTGGGTGGATGAAAATGCCAAATTGGGTGTGCGGGGCGCATGCGGACGGTCCCAGTGGCCACGAAGCGCTGTACTGGGTGTGGCGGACGCATGTGGCCACCCCCACTAGGGCCTCCGATGGAGCTCCCTATGGGGCCACGAAGCGCTGTACTGGGTGTGGCAGACGCATGTGGCCACCCCCACTGGGGCCTTCGGTGGAGCTCCCTATGGGGCCACGAAGCGCTGTACTGGGTGTGGCGGACGCATATGGCCACCCCCACTGGGGCCTTGGCTTGGGCTCCTTCTGGGGCCACGAAGCGCTGTACGGGGTGTGGCGGACGCGTGTGGTACCCCCAGAGGGGCCTTACATGGAGCTCCCTATGGGGCCACGAAGCGTTGTGCAGGGTGTGGCGGGCGCATGTGGTTCTTCCACTGGGGCCTTACGTGGAGCTCCCTATTGGGCCACGAAGCGCTGTACTGGGTGTGGCGGACGCATGTGGTACCCCCGCTGGGGCCTTACGTGGAGCTCCCTATGGGGCCACGAAGCGCTATACTGGGTGTGGCGGACGCATGTGGTACCCCCACTTAGGGGGGGCAGGGCAATGTAGGAGGAGGAGGAGGAGGAGGAGGAGGAGGAGACGCGGAGACCTTTTTCACTAAAGCGAGGACCCAACACCACAGGAGGAGGATGAGGGAAGTAGGAATAGGATGAGGAGGGTTATGATGAGGATGCGGAGGAGGGGGGGATAGGGAGGTAGGAGGAGGAGGAGGAGGAGGAGGAGAAGGAGGCGGAGGAGGAGGAGGAGGGAATATTGTAGCTGGTTGCCTGGTTACTTACACCATGGAAAACCAGAGGTCCTGGTTTCAATCTTGCCAAATTTCCATTTGGGAGCTTGCGAATGCAAACTTCCTGTTGCACATATGGCGGCACGCGTGCCAGGACATGCTCAGCAGCTGCTTGGTGTATCGAGGCGGTTGTTTGCAAGGGGTCCTATGCAGTGACGACCCATTAATCATAGCAGGAAAGTGTGTCAGCGATTGAATTCCTTACTTCACGGCTGAAGCGATTGATCTAGATGAAGCGGTTGAAGTTGTGAGAAAATTCACGCGTACAATAGGTAGCCGGCCGTCCAACATGTGACCCAGGCCTCGAGAAAGGAGGAGGAGGAGGAGGAGGAGGAGGAGGAGGAGGAGGAGGAGGAGGAGGGGCGCGCGGCAGCAGGTTTCCGAGGAAGCCCGCGCGAAGGGGAGCGGAGGCGGGGGCATGCCAGCAGCCCTGCGGTGCCACGAGTCTGGGTAGGCATCGGGGGCGGCCAAGAGAGGGGTTGGTGACAACGATGACGACAACAGCAACGGTCGTTGTCGTGGATTGTCGTCGTTATCGATTGATCGTTGTCACTACCGTTATCGTCATCATTATCGTTGTCGTTGTCGTAATCGCTGTGGGGGATATCGCTGCCAGGGCCATGAGGAATCGACCCGGATAGCATCAACCCTCCTCCTGCTTCCAAGGCGTTTTCCGGTCCTCCTCCAGGGGCCGCGCGAGGGGGGCTGCAACCCCCACAGTTGGATGCCTTCTCCACCTCCTCCTCCTCCTCCTTCGGTCCTTCTTCTCCTCCTCCTCCTCCTCCTTCTCCTCCTCCTCCTCCTCCTCCTCCTCCCCTCCTCCCCTTCTCCCCCCTCCCCCCTCCTCCTCCTCTCCTCTCCTCTCCTCCTCCTCCTCCTCTCCTTCCTCCTCCCCTCCTCCTCCTCCTCCTCCTCCTCCTCCTCCTCCTCCTCCTCCTCCTCCTCCTCCTCTCCTCCTACCTCCTCCTCCTCCTCCTCCTCGCCCCCTCCCTCCTCCTCATCCTCGCGCCCCCTCCCTCCCCTTCCTCTTCCTGCTCCCTCCCCCTCCATCCTCCTCCTCCTACTCCTCCTCCCTCCTCCTCCTCCTCCTCCTCCTCCTCCTCCTCCTCCTCCTCCTCCCTCCTCCTCCTCCTATCCTGCTCCTCCTCCTCCTCCTCCCTCCTCCTCCTCCCTCTCCTCCTCCTTCTCCTCCTCCTCCTCCTCCTCCTCTTCCTCTCCTCCTCCTCCTTCTCTCCTCCTCCTCCTCCCCTCCTCCCTCCGCCTCCTCCTCTCTCCTCTCCTCCCTCCTCCTCCTCCTCTTCCTCCTCCTCCTCCTCCTCTCCTCCTCCTCCTCCTCACCCTCCTCCCCTCCTCCTCCTCCTCCTCCTCCTCCTCCTCCTCCTCATCCTCCTCCCCCATCTTGACGGCACGGGGCGGCTTTTTGGCCGCGCAGCCCCCCCCTCTCCGCGGCACAGGACCTGCCGGATGCCTCCTCTTCCTCCTCTCCTCCTCCTCCTCCTCCTTCTCCCTCCCCCTCCTCCTCCTCCCTCTCCTCCTCCTCTTCCTCCTCCTCCTCCTCCTACTTCCTCCTCCTCCTCCTTCTTCTCCTCCTCCTCCTTCTCCTCCCCCTCCTCCCCCCCCCCCTCCTCCCCCCCCCGCGCGCAGGACCTGGAGGAGAAGCGCGTCAACAGGGAGCTGGCGAAGATTCGCCAGAGATTCACGGCCGAAGGCTCGCGGCCCCACGAGCCCAGACCCCCTCGAGTCATGAAAACATCACGACGGGAGGTCTTCCGCCATTCTCGGCCTCCCGGGGCCCTCGCTGGGCCTCGGGAGCGTCAAATAACGACTTGGGATGAAACACCAGTCCAGGGGAATGAGTCGAGACCTCGGGGGTCAACACTATGAAAAAATCATATTGTCGGGGGTCTTGGAGGGAGTATTCCAAATCCCTTATGAATCGCCCCCCCTGAAGCACCGGACCCCCCTCAAAATGCGACCTTGTATTCCGCACTCCCCGCTTCGGCGGGGCGCCTTGATACACCGGACCCCCGAAGCTCCAGCCCAAGGAAGGCGCCCCAGTACACCAGTTACCGAAAAGGCGCCCTCAAACACTGGACCGGGGAGACGATTAGTAAGGGATTGGGGATTTTCCCGGATAGTTCATAGAGAGCTATAGGAGGGTCTCATGCTCAGAAGCCGAAGCCGCAGGGCAGCCCCGGAGCTCGTTCCGGCCTCTGGCAGGGCACCTCGGCGCGCCGTGCCTGAACCGGCAGCGTGTTCGGGCAGCGTCTTTCGCCAGCGTTTCCCAATACGTCTGCCCAGAAGACCTCCAGCAGCTCGTTGGGAAGCTATTTCCAGGAGCTTCCAACGCTTCGTCGAGGGGCCTTTGCACGCCCTTCTGGCGCCCTGCCATCCGGGCTTCTGACTTCACCAGTAGCATCCGCGGCGGAATCCGGACCCTGACCTCGCCGAGCAACGATTCTGGCATCTCGATGGGCGGTGGGGGGTATAGGCTTCGGAACCGGTCGAGCACGTAGCGGAATCGGTCGAGGCACCGACATACATACATATATATATATATACATATATATATATATATATATATATATATTTATCTATATTTACATATATATATACTATTATTGTTGTTATGATTATCATTATTGTTATTGTTATTGTTATTGTTGTTGTTAGTAGTAGTAGTAGTAGTAGTAGTAGTAGTAGTAGTAGTAGTAGTAGTAGTAGTAGTAGTAGTAGTGGTACTATTATTAGTAGTATTAGTATTAGTATATTCTTCTTCTTCTTAACATTATTATTGTTATTATTATTCTTATTCTTTCCATTACTATTATGCATTATTATTATTATTATTAGTATTATTAGTATCTATATGTATATACACAATTATATGTAGAAGTTATCGCTTTGCAGGCTTTCCAGACAGCCCCCTCGCTGTTGCAGTCCGGGCAGAGGTGCGGGCCGGCCGCCCTGCCCCGCTGCGGCCGCCCCCTCCGGGCCGGCGGAGGGGCCCCGGGCCACGGCCATGCTCGCCGAGGGGGCGCGCCGCGCAGTCGGCCCCCCGGCTCTGCACGCGCGAGATGGGCACGGAAAGGATGGGTCAAACATAAATAGTAGGAAAGAAGGAGGAACATCCAAAAAGAGGTCAAACATAATACGGGGACTATGTTTTGACCGTTTTTGAGCGTTTTTTATATTGTTGGGCATTTTGAGTTTTCCTCCAAAATCCGCTTGTAGGAGGACAGACCCTCAGAGCCCCGAATCATCAGGGGTAACTCGTGTCAGGGCTATAACTCGGGTTCGTTTCTCGGGGTTCCGAGCCCGACTCACCCCGGACCCGGTTTACCCCGGATAATTCGGGCGTCCAGAGCCCCGAATCATCAGGGGTAACTCGGGTCAGGGCTAACTCGGGTTCCTTTTTCGGGAATCCAAACCCGAGTTACCCCGGACCCGACTTACCCTGGATAACTCGGGCGCCCAAACAATGCCCAACAGCGGATCTTGTTCATTTCGAACAGGACTCGCTGTCCACGCCGCCGCGGCCTGCGTCCATTCGAGGCAGAAGGCCGCCTGCCCAACACCGGCCGCTGTTGGTTTGGGACAGCATGTGTGGTTGGGCATTGTATCCATTCTTTCCAAACTGGCAGGCCAGGCGCCGCCGGTTCGCAAGCCGAGGGTTATGTCGGGCGTGTCCCCTTACAGGGGGATTTTCGAGGAAAAAAGAAAGATACCCCCAAACAAATCCAAAAAAAACGAAAAATACCCAAAACATAGTCCCCAGACTATTTTTGGATTTTTTTTGCGGTATTTTCAATGTTTCGTCGAACATCCCCCTGTGGGAGACAGGCCCGACTCAAGCCGAGGGACCTCGTCTGCCAGCAGGCTGGCATCCGAAGTGGCCGATCGTCTTTTGCCGTGCTGCTCGCTCGCTCGCTCGTGCTCGGAGAGGGCGCATGTACCCATACCGCTAGCCTTCCCTCGTTTCTCCCTTTTTCGGCTTCCTGGCAGGCCCTCGTCGCCTCCGCTGGATTCAGCTCGAAATGCGGGTCAGAACGCACCCCGGGAGAGGTCCAGGGAGTGCGGTATCGGTGCTTTTTGGCTTCTTTATGTGTAATTCGTGCCCGTTCTCTACTGTGCGACTTGCTCCGGCGGTCTCACTGGAGGTGACAAGATGTCTGGCTACGACAAGAAGAAATACATCTGGAAGCTGCTTTATGCATACATGCTCGGCTACGAGATCGACTGTGGCCATCATCTGCAGGCCGTGAAGCTGTGCTCGAGCTCGAAGTTCAGCGAGAAGACGGCCGGGTAACGTGGGAGACAAAGTCGTAGCGCATCCAGTGCGTTCACATATGCCACCCGTTCGCTCGAGACAGGCTTGCCACGGAACGCAGATGTGCTGCTCCGCCCTGCGTGCCTCTCCGTGAGCTGACCTTCACGACTGCGGGTTGGTTCAGTGGGGCGACTTGCCCGCCCTCCGCCTGGTACGACCGAGACGGGAGCGGGAAGAGTGGGGACGAAGGCCAGCATGTGGTGTTCCAGCCTACTTGAGCCTTGATCGCCAGACAAAATCCCGAGCACCAAGAAACTACCGAAACTGGATGGTTTTCACGAGTTGGGCCTTGGGAGGCGATGCTCGTTCGACACCGCGCTAGCGTGTCGGGCAGACATGGTTTTGATACTTCTCTGGGTTCTCGAAATTGTTTCTGGGATGTACAGCCAACCTGTACAGTAATGATGAGCAGCTTTCCAAGGCTACCATTGCATCCTTGTCTCTTCGGCCCACCCGTGGTCACTTTAGCTGGCAAGCCCCACTCGAAAAACGTCAAAAGGTGTTCCAAGGTTCTTGAATCTTTATTGCGCATCACAAATTATGATATGTTCGCGTCGTGTCGGCTGGTGGCGACCCCGCCGCCGGCCTTCAATGTTGAACGCCCCCAGCGACCCATTATTGGCCGATGTTGCACGGTCTGGCGAACTTGAGACGACCGATCGTTCAAGGTTTAATGATTCCCGCGGTGTCAGAAGCCAACGCCGGGGTCGTCGCGACACGAAGTTGCCGTTCACAGGTCGACTGTAGTCCGTCAGTACGATGGGAACAACGTAAGGCTGGCCGCAGTCCCTGACCGTCTTGGGCCAGACGCGCCAGTCGGTGTCAGGTCGGGACAAGCGTCGCCTGCTCAACAGCAGCCGCTGTCGGTTTTGGACAACATTTGCTGTTGGGCATCGTCCCCATCCATCTTGGAATCGCTAGGGGGTGTGCATTTTTCTCGGCTGGGAACATCGAGGAGTGTCCTGGATCATCTTGCAAAAAAGCACGCACGAAACCGACAGATGCATGAGGATTGGACGTCCGAGCGATGGCAAGGCATGTGTCCGTCCCCATCTCGGACGTGGCAATCTGCGGTTGCATCCCTGTGGCGGGGTCGGCAGGGAGGGGTCCTTGGGTTTGGGGAGGGAGGCTGGGCATTTAGTTAGTGGGCCTGAGGTGCCACTGCGTCAGATGCACACGTGCCGGAAAGCCAAGTCGGCTTCTTAAGAGATGTGAATCGGGTTCGGGCAGGGAGCCCCATGGATGGGACATGGGTGTTGGGGCCCCGCCGGAGGCCTATGAGGGCATCTTGTGGAGGCTTCTCGGGACACATTGGGGAAGTCTTTGAGGCACCTTGGAGCCTCTGCAGTGTCCTTGGGACACGACTCACCGAGATGGGTCTTTCGACCCCGCCAACAGTGGAAGTTGACCAGCGTATCGACGGCCTGTTTGACAGACTGGGGCCCCACCAATGGCGGAAACTACTTCTTCACCCGTGGCACTTGCCGCGCAACAACGACGACAACCAAGGACGAGGAGGAGGAGGAGGAGGAGGAGGAGGTGGAGGATCAGCAAGAAAAGGAGAAGAGGAGGGATGAGTTTGTTTCCTGCCAAGAGTCTGGGAGCCGTCTGATTCGCCGCGAGGCTGCCGAGTAGCGAAGCTGCGGGGTGGCTTTCGAGAGGTACGTTCGATGAGGGGTGTCGGCCTTCGAAGACTTGCAAAACAACGGGTGCAGGTAGCGGACAAGCGTTCCCTCGGCGGCGAGCGATGGGGGGAAGGTGAGAAGGAGGAGGCCTTCTCAGAAGGCGGCGGGGCTTCTCAGAAGCCCTCGCGCACTCCAGGAGGTGTTCTGCGTCTTCGGGGAGGGCAGAGAAAGCTTCTCAGAAGGCCGGGGGACTTCCGAGCCGTCTGAGAAGGCCCGCCCCTTCCACTGCCCCCCCGGGCGCGCCGTCGATGCACGCATGATAGTGGATGGGGGCATCATCTCAGCACTTTCGTGCGGCTCCTCCCACGCGGCAGGTGCAGCCCTCTCGCAGCCCTCACGAGTCGAGGCTATGCAGAGGGAGCGCCCTCGAAGATGCAGTGGAGATCCATGCCAAGAAACACCCTGCTCGCCTCCAGGGTGCCCTGGGTGTCTTGGGTTTACATGGTTCTGCGATGGAGAGCGCGACGCTCCAGCACCAAAACTCCGTGGACGCCCTGGGGTCTCAGGGTTGGGCTTCTTGTGGAAGGCTTCTCGTGGAGCAGCCTCCACGGCGGAGGGAACGCCCTCCAGGATACGCACAGCCCTGGCGTTCGGTCGGGCATGTCCACCTACAGGCGGATTTGGAACGGAAGGTAACACGACAACAAAACATTCCAAACAGATCCACACATAGTACTCAGAACTTTGCCCGCAGACTATTTTGGGGGTATGTTAGAAGTTCTTCCCTGTAGAGGGACACGCCCGAAGGAGGAGGAGGAGGAGGAGGAGGAGGAGGAGGAGGAGGAGGAGGAGGAGGAGGAGAGGGACAGGCCCGACTTTACCCTGGCGGAGGGGGCCGCTGCGGCACGGCGCGCTTCCAGGAGGAGCCTCGCCGCCGGCGCCCCTTTGCCCCTCGGCGGCTCCGCCGGAAGGCTTCAACAAAAGACGGGGCGGGCGGCGGCGCCGGGACGAGGGCCGGCAGAGGGCGGCGGGAGCAGAGGCTTAGAACATCGCCCGATGACTATTTTGGGGGTATTTTAGAATTCCTTTCCTGTACAGTCGGGGCCCTGAAGATGGAACCCTTTTCGTTTCGGAGGGGCTCCGCGTTCCTTAATTGCTTCGCAGCTTGCCTCAGGTTTTCCTCATGTTTTCGATCGGAGATCGAAGGTTAACTCATGGAAAAAGGGGCCCCGTTCCTTATTTAGGGTTCCTTGGGTCAACGCCTCGACTGTAATACTCAGAACATCGCCCGCAGACTATTTTGGGGGTATGTTAGAGGAGGAGGAGGAGGAGGAGGAGGAGGAGGAGGAGGAGGAGAAGGAGGAGAGGGACACGCCCGCCTTTACCCTGGCGAGGGGGGCCGCTGCGGCACGGCGCGCTTCCAGGAGGGGCCTCGCCGCCGGCGCGCGCCTCGCCCCTCGGCGGCTCCGCGGGAAAAGCTTCAACAGAGACGGGGCGGGCGGCGGCGCCGGGCCGAGGGCCGGCAGAGGCCGGCGGGAGCAGAGGCTCGGAGGCGACGGCAAGGTTAATCAGAGCCCCGAATCATCAGGGGTAGCTCGGGTCAGGGTTAACTCGGGTTCGTCTTCGGGAGTCCGAACCCGACTTACCCCAGACCCGGAGCAGAGGTCGGGAGCTTCGAGACGGGGGTCAGTGCAGACGGGGGTCAGCCTGGGCACCGGATCCTGCAGGATCCTGCGAAGACCCCCTTTGGCTGACCCGGGTCAGGGAGCCGCTCGTGGCCGCGGGGCGGCCGCGCGTATTGGCTGACCCGGGTTTGCGAAGACCTGCGCTGCAGTTTTTTTTTTTTTTTTCTGCATTGCAGTTTTTGGTTTCCTGCTGACCCAGGTCTGGATTGACCCGGGTCAGAAGATCCCCGGCAGAGGCTCGGAGGCGACGACAAGGTGACGTCGGGCCTGATACTCAAACATAGTCAAAACATGATCAGGGGACGATGGTTTAGATATGGTGTGTAGTAGTAGTAGTAGTAGTAGTAGTAGTAGTAGTAGTAGTAGTAGTAGTAGTAGTAGTAGGAGTTGTTGACGTTGTTGTCGTTGTTGTTGTTGTTGTTGTTGTTGTTGTGGTTGTGGTTGTTGTGGTTGTTGTTGTTGTTGTTGGTGTTGTTGTTGGTGTTGTTGTTGTGGTTGTTGTGGTTGTTGTTGTTGTTGTTGTTGTTGTGGTTGTTGTTGTTGTTGTGGTTGTTGTTGTTGTGGTTGTTGTTGTTGTGGTTGTTGTTGTTTTGTATGTTATGATTGCTGTTTCTTCCAACATCCCCCTGTAGGGGGCCATGCCCGACCTGACGATATGGGCGAGTCCCGAAGAAACAACCACATAAACATCATCGTTTGGCGCTCCGCGCGGATTCTTTGCATCCGCGCGGGGCCCCCCCGGGGCGGCGCCTCCGGCGCCGCCCCTGGCGCCCTCGCGCGCCGGGGGGGGGGGGCGTCCGGCGCTGATCCAAGGAGCCCGCGCGGAGCGCCCGTAATGGTATTATATATATAGTTTGTGTGTAGGTGTGTGTGTTGTGTGGTATTTGTGTGTGTGTGTGTGTGTGTGTGTGTGTGTGTGTGTGTGTGTGTGTGTGTGTGTGTGTGTGTGTGTGTGTGTGTGTGTGTGTGTGTGTGTGTGTGTTTTTCTCGGTCTGGAAATACATGCACGAAAACAGGGGCGCCGATGCTCCATGCCTCCAGCGAGGCTCCTGGGCGAGAATGCGCGTGTGGTGCCTTCACCCCCCGGGGGCTGTTCGCCCTGAGTCGTCGCCACCGAGGGGTGAGACGCCAGCACTTTTTTAGCTTTAGGTCGGGCCTGTCTCCCTGCAGGGGGATTTTCGACGAAAAATAAGGAATACCCAAAAAAATAGTCCAGAAATAGTCTGGGAACTTGTTTCTTTTTTTGTGTGTGTATTTTTTTGCCTTTGGATGTATTCTTGAGGCATTTAAACAAATGTTCGTCGAACATCTCCCTGTAGGAGGACACGCCCGACATAATTTTAGCTTCATCGTTTCCGAGTCGCCCACGTGATGCGATGCTGCGTTGTGCGGGGTCCTCAGGGGGGCGCAGTCGGGCAGTGCTCAGGGGGTTAATTAGGGGCTGCTCGGCGCGTCCGGCGCGCAGAGGCCGAAGCGCGGAGCCTCGAAGTCATCCTGGCTGCGCGAGGTGGCCGCAGCACGGCTGCCTGAGCAGAGCCTGCCCTCGGGGCGTGGGCCTGTCGGGCCGGGCGAAATGGGCTCCGCCTCCTCCTCCTCCTCCTCCTCCTCCTCCTCCTCCTCCTCCTCCTCCTCCTCCTCCTCCCCCTCCTCCTCCGCCTCCTCCTCCTCCTCCTCCTCCTCCTCCGCCTCCTCCTCCTTCCCTTCCTCCGCCTCCTCCTCCTCCTCCTCCTCCTCCTCCGCCTCCTCCTCCCTCCTCCTCCTCTCCGCCTCCTCCTCCTCCTCCTCCTCCTCCGCCTCCTCCTCCTCCCTCCTCCTCCTCCCCTCCTCCTCCTCCCCCCTCCTCCTCCTCTCGGTCGGGCGAAAGGGGGGATGGAAAGGGGGGGTTACGAAATCTGCATCCGGTTCGCCTCACCGAGGGGCCCATTCCTCGATGCCATTGGCCGCCTCCGGCGCCGGGAGGCGCCGGGAAGATCCTACGTGAGCTGATTCTCCCTCCCCCCCCTTTGCTATCCCCCCCTTTCGCCCGACCCGGGCCTGGAGCTATCCGGCGGGAGAGTTCGACCGACAGATACCCTCGGCCAGAAGGCGGGCTGAGCAGCAGCGACTGAGAGGAGTTTGACAGTGAAGGGGGCCGATGTCCCGCAGTCTTTTTTATATCACAGCGCAGGACTGCAGCGCGCAGAGCCGACCTTTCCTTCCAGTCGGAAGGATTGGGTGGCTCCTTGCAGCAGGCTGAATCACAGCGATCGGCAGTGTGACTTGGTTACCTTGCTTGAGTTTCCGCTCTGTCGTTGTTGGCGAGCTGTGTCAACATGGCCGCTACCCCAAGTGCCAGCTGCGCTCTACACCCCGTGCGCAGCAAGCCGCTCCATTCCCCGACTCTCGACCATCGCATTGAGGCAATCACGATTCCTGTGAACCGCACACGCTGCTCCGCCGCCGTCGTTGTCCGTCGTCGTTGTGGGTGCCGCGTCGCCGCGGCGGCCAAGAATCTGCAGCAGGCGGTGCCTCAGTGCCCGCCCCTTCTTTCTGCCGCGAGGTATTTGGCGATTTCCTTATTACTCGCCGACAACGAGAAGATGCTCACTATGGTGGTCAACAGCATCAAGCAGGAGATCCTTCTGCTTCGCCTCCGCCTCCTCCTTCCCACGCTTCCCCAGCTCATCGTCGTCATCCTTTTGTGTTCTGGCGAGACAACCTGGTGCGGAAGGGTCGGTTGTAAGTGACCAGTGGTGCGACGCTGGCCTGGGCGAAGAGCAGATAAGGGACGGGGGAGGGGAGGGACAGGGTGACGGGAATGGGATCAAGCGAAAGCAGGGGCCCGGGAACGTTCGCAGGGGACGAAGGTCCAAGGAGGATGAGGCGGAGGAGAAGGTGGGAATGATGAGGCGGAAAGACATCAGGAAGCGGCGATGAAGATGAGAGCAGGGTGATCGGCGATGCAGCGCGATGATCCGGACCCCATTTGGGTTGCCTCCCTCCGTGCTCTCTCATCCCCGCCCCCCCTCCTCCCCAACTTCGTCCACTCGCGTAGAGAGCCTTGCAGTCCTCCCCGTTGCCCTCCTCGTGGACCTCCCGCCTCCCCCCTCCCCCCTCGCCTTCCTCCCCAAGGGAGCAGATCACTGCATAAACAGGAGGGTCCCAAAAAAGGGTTTTGGGGAGGGGTTGTTCCAGGAGGGGTCCTTCAGGGGCTTCGCACACCCTGTTTTGACGAGGTTTCGAGGCCCCTGTCTGGAAAA